GATTTTGTTAAGCTGGATCGTTTTGATAGAATTAATGTTGGAAGATAGCAATCTAATTCTTGCTGAGGACCTTAAAAGTAGATTATGTACTAAGAAAGTTACATCCAGTTACTGCAAATCCACCTTCAGAATCTATCGATGATCAGACCACTACTGACTAGATTATCTAAGAAATTCAAGAATGGGAAAAAAATGATTACTTATGTAAAGGGTGTATCTTGAATGCTCTAAGTGATCATTTGGTTGATCTTTACTCAGGAATACTAACTGCAAAGGTATTATAGGAAGCTCTAAAAGCCAAATATAAAGAAGATCCCGGTAGAAAGAAGTATCTCATTAACAGATACTTAAATTTTAAAATTACAAAATAAAAATAGATATTGGCTCAAATTCATGATTTTCAAATTATAGCAAACGAACTAGCATCAAATAGTATTAAATTTGATGAGTCATTCCATGTCAAGGCAATAATCGATAAGTTGTCGCCCTCCTGAAAACACTACAAAAACACACTAATACACAAGTCAAAAGACTTCAGCCTTAAACAGTTGATGATCCATATGAGGATCGAAGAGGAGACCAAACTCCGAGATAAGGAAGAATAAAAGTCTCAGATGGTTTTCAGAGCCCATGTAGTTTAAGGTCCGAGAAAGAATAAGTCGAGGACTGAAAGGGGAATCACGATTGAAGAAAAAAAAGATACCAAAGATGTAAGAAACCCTTGGTATGCTATTTCTGCGGCAAAGCCGTCCATATGCAGGAATTCTGCAGAATTCGAAATAAACAGCTAGCACAAGCCAATGTTGGCGAAGAAAGATTTTGTCACTATGATTTTCAAAGTTAATGCAGTAGGGTGGGTGGATTCTGGAGCCATCAGACATATTTGTAATAATAGAAACATGTTTAGGACGTATTAAATGGTGGAGGAAGATATTGTACTTTATATCGACAATTCTTCCTTATCTAAAGTACTTGGAAAAGGGACAGTTGAACTGGAATTCACAACAAGCAAAGTCCTCACCCTTCTTGATGTGTATCATGCCTCCGAAGTCTGAAGAAACTTGGTATCAACATACCTGCTGAATAAGAGGGGTTTCAAACCCGCCTTTGAGTCCGACAAGTTTTATTGTCCAAGAATGATGTCTTCATATGAATGGGTTAGGCTATTGAGGGCATGTTCAAGCTCAATATACATAATGAAATAGGAGGAACATCCTCTTCTGTCTAAATACTTGATTCCTTTTCTTTATAGCATGGTAGATTAGGTAAAGTTAATTATCGTGCTTTAAGAAAATGAGTGCTTTAGACCTAATTCCTAAGTGTGCAAATGTAGAAAGTACTCTTTGTGATGTTTGTGTGTGATCAAAAATTACAATAACATTCTTTCCTATAGCAAAAAGAAGTTCCAAGTTACAGGAATTAGTGCATAGCGATGTTTGTGATCTGAAAGAAGTACAGACTCGTGGTGGGGAAGAAATACTTTGTCACTTTCATGATTGATTTCTTAAAATATGCTTATGTTTATTTAATTAGGAACAAAGATGAAGTATTTGAGAAATTTAAAGTTTATAAAACAGAAGTTGAGAACCAATTGAATTTGAAAATCAAGGTTTTCAGAAATGGTGAATACTACTCCACCAGCTTCACTAATTATTGTGAAGAAAATGGAATAATCCACCAAGTTACCGCCCCATACACACCACAACAGAATGGTTTAATTGAAAAGAAAAATCGTACTCTTATGAATATGGTAAATGCCATGCTCATCAGTTCAAACCTCCCTACTAATCTCTGGGGAGAGGCTTTAAAGTCAGCTTATTTTATTTTAAACCGGATACCCATATTCAAAGTCTAATGTTACACCTAATGAACTTTGGGAATGAAGGAAACCCCATTTAGGATTCCTCAAAGTTCGTGGTTGTGCAGCCATAATAAGGCTCCCCGACCTTAAGGGGCCCAAACTTGGACCTAAATCTATAAAGTTGCCAAAGCACGGGAGTTAAATGCCAGGCAGATCCCTTCAACCAAGAGGAAGAAGGAAGACATACAGAAAGTTTCCTATAGGTCGGTCGTAAGAAGCACACGCAGAGAAAGCGTGGTGAGCAGATTCATCGCTAATCTTAGCAAGGAACACTGACAACAGTCAATTGGATATCCAGATATCTCAAAGGAATATCCAAAGTGTATTTGTGCTTTAAAGGAAGTAAACCTGTGTTAAAATAGTACACAGATGAAGACATGGCTGGAAAACTGAACTCCAAGAAGTCAATCTCAAGATACTTGATTACTTTTGCAAGGGGAGTTGTTGTATGGCAGTCCAAGCTGCAGAAGGATGAGAAATTGTTGCAACTAGGAGAATCCATACCAATATGAGTAAGTCAGATATGATGATGAAAATCTTGGCCAAAGGCAAGCAAAAGTCATGGAGAAGCATGGCTGGCACAGGTGCCATTTGAGCATCTGGTTGGTCTGTAAAAGGAAACCTCCCTCTTGGGATTGGAGGGGGAGATTGTTGGGCATCCCAACCCATGAGGGACGGACACCCATGGAAATTGTCTTTGATACAAAACCAATTTTGAAAAAAGAAAAAAATGTCTTGTTGACCAAGTCATAATCCCGTAAAAAGTCTCACATGATTGATATGAGTAGTATTTCCTTTTACCTTCTACATCAAAATGGGATAGAGATGAGCCACCTTTAGGAGGTTATGAGATACTCTTTCCATAATAGTGTTATACATTGACCCATGCAAAGGTAACAATGTGAGGAGGTTGAAATCTTTCCTCTAAAGTGATATCCAAATATTGTCCCCATATGAGATGAGATAAAGATAAATAAGATGGTCAAAGATTTCACCTCTATCTATCCTAAAGAGAAATAACACAACATAAAAGGCCCTCATGTGGGTAGGTTGTGTTTGCTCTTGGGTTTTAACTAAAGCCACCTTTCTTGGGCCATTTTTTAGCGTGCATCTCTTTTGAGCCATTTTTTGGGCGGACTATTCTTAGTATATTGAAAAATACATGAAAATTTCTTTTTGCAGAAAAGAAGAAGAAGAGAGAAAGTTATCTTTCTCTAAGAGAGGAGAGAGAAAGTTACCCTTCTCTGAGAGAAAAGATGAAGAGAGAGAAAGTTATCCTTTGTGTTAAAGAGAAGAAGATGAAAGAGAGTCAACAATTCTCTTCTTAAATCTTTTCTTTGTTGAGAGAGAAAAGAGAGAGAAGAGAAGAAAAAGAGAGAAAGAAAGACCTTTTCTTTTGGAGAAAGAACGCTTCAAGAAAGAAAAGAAGTCTCTGAGAGAGAAGAACCTCAGAGAGGGAAATCCTAAAGAGAGAGAGTATCTAGAAGAAATTAACGAGCCCAAAAAAAATTGTTTCTTGGAAGACTATTGTAACCATTGAGTTAATAGTGGATTTATCTCTTTCTCCTGCGAACGTAGCCTGAAAAAGTGATCCACGCAAAATCTCGGTGCCAATAAATTTTATTTCTTAGTTGCTTTAATTGCTTGTTTTTCCACTCATACACACATCGGCTTTAGCATATTTTTGGTGCCCCATATTTTTGCGTTTCGCCGTACGCATCTGCATTCGTGCAAGAGGGCCCTAACTGGGTTAGCCCAACAAAAAGCCCTAGATCAATAACAGAAAGACCTTAAAATCAACATACAAAGAAAGCGCTAAATCTATAACACAAAAAGTCAAAATCAATAACAGAAAGAGTAGGTTGTGGTGTGAACTGGTCTCTTGACTTCTTTAAGGGCTAATTGTTATAATTGATTTAGTGACTCCCTTGACTTCTTTAAGGGCTAATTGCTTCAATTGACGCAATGTGGTGCCACAACATGGCCCTCACCATCAATGAACATGCTTTTGACTGGGAAGGTGTATTGAAATAGAGAGAATTCACCAAGGTGAGACGAGAGTGAGAGAAAGGGTTGGACGTTAGCAGAGAAGAAAGGGACAGGCTTAGAGAACGAGAGAGCAGGACTAAGCTTTGAAGAAAGGGCCAAGCTTTGAGAGCGAGGAGAGAGAGAGAGAGAGAGAGAGCAAATGTTAATTGCATGGAACGCACTTGATACAATTTTTAGTCTCCCAAAAAATTCTTAGTTGAATTTATGGGGATTCAGATATTAGACGATTATTAAGACATTTCATGAAATAATTTTACCTTATTAAATTTGGTCGACCAACTTTTGTAATTAAGATTATATTAGATTAAGTAATATCCTGGAATATCAAGATATTAACATGTTATCAAACATACTTTAAGTGAATAAGTGATGAATTGAAAAAACCCCAAACAAACAAGTAATTAAAACAGATAAAAAGGACAATCAAATATCCCTTTTTGTGGGTGAGTAATCAAACAACCCTTTGACACAAACAATATGCATCATCAGCTAGATATTGTATAGTTTGAACTTAGCAAGCATACCCTTTGAAAATAAAAAGGGAAAGCACTCGGAACGGCTAAAGCTGCATGCTGCCACATGCTCCTGTGCATCAAATAAAACTAGACCACACAAGATGGCTAACAAGTGTTGGTGTTAGCACATCCGACCAGCCCAATTTTAACAAATGGAGTGAGGCATGCAGCCACATGCAGCACCAGTGGAATAAAAACCTCACCCAATGGAAATCTACTCCATTATTATGAGTATTAGTAAATTTCAACAATAAAATACATCATTATGTTCAAATTTAGCGGAATTATGGCTTTGACCCCTTAGCAAATTGAGAAAGAAATTCAAAAACATGACAAAACTACAAGAGAGAAATAAGGAATACAACTTCACCTTGTAATAGTGGAAATACATCAATAAGAACTAGCTTATCTTGAAACATTGCCATGTCCACTCCTCTGACATTCTCATACAAACTCTTAACCACTTTACCAAAGTATAGTGGCGGTTTCATAATTTTATGTCTGGCAATTTTGAATTTAAAGTTAACCCCTCTTAAGAAAACAAACCAGAAAACAGAACTAAAGATTTGGCATACCTCAGCAAGACCCTTGGCCAGAAATTGGAGCTGGTCAGTGAGAGAAGTCACCTGCTCTTGGAGAGCAGGTATAACTTCACTAGCTTGTTTTAGTTCTGACCCTTGTTTCTCTAAAAGATCATGAAGATAAGAGGTCTTAGCATCAGGGAAGAGCTTGGTACTCTTTAGAGCTCTGATTTCTTCCCTTTGCTCGATGCATAGATCCTTTAAATTCTGTACCTGTCAAGCCCCATGAGAACCACGACAGAGGTATAAGGCTACAAATTTTCAACGATACTCGCTTGTTTCCGAAGCGCCCAACAGATAGAACATGAGAAGAAACAATTATTGACGCTTATGGCAGCAAAATTTAACTATTACAAGTCATTTATCAAGGAGCAAAGTTGAACAACAATGGAAAAGGACCAAATTGTCAAATACTAAATCCTAAAATGCAATATAACAGACCAAATTGTCAATACTAAATCCTAAAATGCAATATATCAGAATATTACTATCACAAGTAGTAGTACCTACAGAAGACTTGGAAGGAATAATAGGAATATTAATGTAACAGTAAGTAGTGCCGGCAGCACCATCATGGTGCTAGGTATACTGCACAAATAAGACCAAAGGTAGTTCCACTTCCTAAAAGAAAATTCGTTGTCATCTTCATTGTTTATAATCTATGTTGTAAGGACACAAGTACATGTGCAAGTATCTGACACTGGTAGGAAGCATCAAATTCCTCGTGCCATAAAGGAAAGTATTCAGCAACATGGCTATATTATAAAGAGAACCAAATCCAATAATGTTTTACTAATATTCCATTCCATGATGAAGAGCAAACAATAACTAATTATCCCTTAGTTGGCTGAATCTTAAGATATTCTTTTAGTTTCACAGAGTCTCAAAGTTCACATGTGTATACTAGAAACAAAAAAGAAAATCAATTCTCTAAAATGACGTAATAAATATACATAAACAAGAAGAAAAATCCAAAGGAATCTATGTCGGTATACGATATGTATCTGAAACAAGTATGGCACCTAAACAGAAGAATCATGCAACATAGTTCATAAAGTGAAGTCAAGGAGCAGCATTAAAAGCATGCGAAGGAAAAGGCTCCACAATCATCATGGAAGACTATTAGCATATCATGACCAACATGCTCCCTTGAAATATCAATACAGAAATTGTCAGTTATTGCTTCTATTTCTCTCAAACATTCCTTTCTAGTTGAAGCAGTTCAATATCATGCTAACAAAGAAAAAATTATTTTGCTCCAAATATCTTGTCCTGCATAGGTAGGTAACTTGATGTATCCATTGATAATCATTGATAGAGAAATAAAAGGAAAACAACAACAAAAAAAAAAAAAAGGTTGCCATGATGTCCTTAGTCCTCAATGGCTCACTAGAACACTGGCAGTTTAGATTGCTAAAGAGCAATAGTAAATAAATTCTGCAAGTTTAGCAAAGGTCTCCGTCTTACTTCTCTGTTCTTCTGCGACAACAGTTGTTGAAGCTCCTTTATTTCTGTTTCGTATTCCTTGTTTTGGTTAAGAAGCTCCCTCTCACTCCTAAGCACCATGGCTAAGGTCCGTGTGTTTGGTTTCACATCAGTTAACTTCCTGGTCTCCTTACAATCTGATGGCTTTGGGAATAACTTATGCTGCAGAACTGAGAAGTTTGATCCTTTCTTCATATTCTTTTTCAAATCATCGGCAATGAAGTCTGCAGGAATTGCAAGCTTGGCAGGATCAAGTGCCTGGAAAGAATTCACTGATATGATTAACATGAGAGATGACAAACAATAAATGAATGATTCAGGAGTTACAAATTACTTAATAAAAACAACAAGCATATTGGACACCAAGCAAATAGAGATGAACATTTCCATTGTTAGAACGATCAAGACAGTTTCCCTTAATAAATAACAACCTTGATTATGCATTGTCTTGTCCTATTTTTTGTTAACAGATGCAACTACATTGAAGTGCCAAGATATTTGCATTTCACATTTCTGAACCTTTAGGACAGTTTTATTCAAAGATTCAAATCTTCAAGCAGATCCAGCAGCATATACACAATCGTATATGGGACTCAATGCACATATTCTACAAGTTTTTTTTGGGTTTCGGGTCATCTTATCCCAAAAGTTGATTTGCTATCTTTAATGTGGTAGTTGACGTGTTAGATGTTAAAATATGAAATTCTTAAAACTGGGAACATGCCACTACCCCCCTTAAAGATCAATTTTGGACATAGCATAGCTGTCTCATAACCTTAAACCATAAAGACCTTAGGGGAAGCAGATAGTTCTTTTGTAGAAGAGCAAAAGCGTCGAGGAACTATAAAATATCCTGGGAAAGTGAAAGAGCTCCTTCTTAACAGAAGGAAAGGTTGATAAATGATTAAGTACCATAACAAACATAGCCATTGGAAGGCTTCAACTCTTGTCCATTGAATCAGAAAGATCTCATCCAAAATGATGAGAATTTAAATTTATATCAATCACAGCTCACAGCAAAGAACAACCATGTACGGTGGCTTCAAATGCTCCCTTTGTCCTTCTAAGGTCATCAAACTTTCAGCACATGAGCAAACTGCAGCAGAAGGAGCTCCAAGCACAGTTGATTATGTGGAATTTGTGAACATGTTATGGATATTAATGTGCATCCCAAGTCATTCTAGTTTTTATTTATATGATGTTTTAAATCCATAAGCACTCCAGGAGATGAACCAAGAGAAGTTTTCTTGCATAAGAATATCCACAGTAATATGGTATTGGACATCCAAAAACATTTCCTTATTTTTAGGCTTCATTTTGGAAAGATCCCAAAATCCTTTTTTTTTTAAGCAAATATGTGAGAAAATGTTGAAAGTCAGCACTCCATTTTCCATCTCTGCTTAACACCCTCTTACATTAGTGCCGACATGCAGAATGCTACTAATAAGATGCACTTTGCATTCTAATTGGAAAAGGGAACCTCTCTTTCCATCTCTATTGTGCAGCATGCTGCATGCTACACATAATGCACCAACTTCCTTAAGGTGCAATGCCCCCCATCCCAGCATTGTACTCTTAATGAAATGCTAAATAACGGTCCTTGAAAGACCATAGCTCACAAAAGTCGAAACATTGCTCACATTATACATATCACATAAGTAGGAATGATCGCCAGGAAAAGGAATATAGAAACACAAAATCTGCACACTTCTCCAGTTTACATAATTCAATTTTTACTTTACATGATTCTATAATACTATGACCCCTATGGCTTAGTCTCAATAATCAGATTGCAAAATTGATACAAATTAAGGCATAGATCAAATTGCTTTCAAATCAAACCCTTATATCCAGAATCTCTCTTGAGCTAGATGTGACAAGACAGCAACAACCACTTCCATTTCAGCTCGTGGCAGTGTTGTGCTTCTAACAATGACATAGGTAATGGAGAAAGGCCCATACAAATTCTTCCCCTTGATGAAGGAAAGATTCTACTAACATAATTCAGAAGGTCTAGAAAAACAGATTTCCAAAAGAGACACCAAATGGATCTATGCAAGTTTTCGGAATAACTGTTAGGCCAACAAATATTAGTTTTAGTTCCCGGGCAATATGGATGTCAAATAAAGACCATAATATTTCCAATTTCAGGTATGCACCACTCTGCATGCTCCAAATAATCAAGTTAACCATGAAAAATATTTGAATCTAATTTACCAGATTCAAAAAATAACTGATCAGCATCACATGCAAAATACCATATCGCAGCAGATAAAAGTAAAAGCATAACCATAGCAATTCAAAGTTGATGAGGCAACAAAGCTTCGTAAGAGTCAGTGTTTTCCTGGAAATAAAAGAAAAATACCAAGTATCTTACTTCTTCTGTTCCAACAAAATCACATGGCCTCTTATTCCTTTTACTCCTAAACCCAAAGGAAAGCCTTACATACCTCAAACATGAGGGAGCAGCAAGACCCTACTTAACCCCACCTCTAACCAAAAATACTGAGAGAATTCTGACACCAAAACTGACAAAAGGACCAAAGGTTAAGTCCTTCCCAACAAACAAACAACAGCATCCAGGATTGTCAATGAAAGCCAATGTTATTGAAGAAGTTGAATAGCAATGAAGTACAGAACTACTGGCATTCTAATAGAGATTCCCTATCAATTAGGACATTCCAATAACAGGCATTCATTTACAAATACATTTACGGGTAGATGATTTTTCTGTTAATCGTGCATTAAAGTGATAGAGACAGATGAACATTTTATATTGAAAACTGATTTAGCAGAGTACCTTAGGCTTCCCCTTCTTTTCCATGAATTTCTTCACAAGGGATGTGAAATTCTGGTCAAGCTTTGGAGGATCGGATGATTTCACTTTGGTAATTGCACGGGATGACGAGTTGTTCGATGAAGTGGCAGGCCTAGAACTTCCAACTAGGCGCTTCAGAGTAGAAAGCTTCTTTTTAGGGTTTGGATCAATAGTAGAAACATCTGAATGATGAGATGATACAGATGACCGGGTATCATATGAATGATATCTCGAGGAAGTAGAAGAAACAGAGGAAGATTTCATTGAAGCCATGGAAACCTCTCTTAAGAGTTTCAACTATGTGTCTAAGCTGGATTAGTTAAACTTGCTATAGAAAAGTTGCATGCATTGAAGCCATTGAAACCTTGGAAAGCCACTCCTGAGCTTTCAGCAATGGCTCCTGAAAGATGGGTTTTAAGCAGGGAAAACTTGATCAGGCCGAACAACACTTCACAGCGTAATAAAATAAAGTAATAAAAATACTCTGAAAGCTGGGGTTTCAGCAAAGGTCCTTCAAGCTGAATTTTCCCCAACAGAAGGCTAGAAATTCAGCAATGGCTCTTGAAGCTATGCTTTCAGAAACAGCAATCGAAGAAAAGGTTTCAGCAATGGATCATTGAGCCAGGGTTTGGGAAATGGCTATTTCAAAAACTAAAGATTCAGCCCCGTGAATCTAAAGGTTCAGCAACGGTTCATTGAATCTAAATTTTCAGAAATGGCTCCTTGAAGAAAAGTTCGAACGGCGAATCATTGAAATCAGCCGGAGCTAGGGTTATTTTAGCAGGCAATTGCTTTTGAAGGAAGGGCTTTCAGCAATGGCACCCTGAATTGCAGAGTGTATTTGGGCGCCGATTGAAATTTTGAAATCGAAGGTCCAGTGTTATTTAAAAGCCCGAAAGGGTTGCCAGACAACTAGAGTGGGCCCAAGCCTTTAGAATGCGACGCGTGTATACGCTCCAAGTGTCGGTGTTCTCTCTTTTTACCAAAAAGATTCATCCGAATGATACATATGTCCTTGTATTTCTTTCTTTTATCAAGAGGGAAGGGAAGTTTGTGTAAAGTGTCAACCTTAAACAATCAGGTGCATCTCAAAATCTCATTATAAGATTTATTTTATTATAAATTTATTTTAGGTGTTAAATTTTTAAATATATTTTTTATTTTTAATATAAGTTTCAAAAAATACGTAGATCAAACAAATCTATGACCACTTAAATATCTTGACAATGAACAGTCTAGATAATGAGTTACAATGTACTATTATTCATACTTGAAATTTAACTTTTCTTTCATGTTCATATATATTGAAATGGAGATGACAAATTTGAAGGTTTTCTAATAATGAAACAACCTTTCGGACGAGTTTTGAGGTGCACTTTACTTATATAGTACAAGGTTGACAACTTATATAAACTTTTTCCTTGACCAAAATGCTCCCATAACTAATGCCTCATTTGGGATCTTGAATGTAGAAATCCTTTGTTTTCATTAAGGGTGCGGTTTGTATATAGCCTAGGCTCTAAAATAGAGCCTACCTTCAAATAGGGTTGAGAAATGTGGTTTCAATACTGGAAATCTTTGTGATAGTCTTAAAATATATTTTCATCTTTATTTATAAAATGTAAAGCTTCAAAAATAGTGTAGATCTCTATGAAAACACGAAAATCTTGAAAATTGACGGTCCAAAAAAATGTTACAAAATATATTATTTTCAAAACTTGAAATTTATTTGTTTCCCATGTCCATGCATCTTGATGTCGAGATGCTCAATTTGAGGATATTTGGGCATCAAACAACCTCTTATAGTGAAAATTTTTAAGTAGGCTCTAATTAGATTGTTTTGAGCCTCGGCTCTATATAAACATTTCCCTTTAGTTAAAACCTAGTTTTGTTAATTCTAGTATATATAGAAGTTGGTTTTAAGCACAATGTTGTTTGGCTAGCTGCTGGAAGAACCCAGTATATATAAAAGCAGGTTCTTTACCCTGTTTGACACAATGAAGATGAAAACCAGCTTTTAGCTATTTGAAGTTAATGCAATTTAGCCGTTGATTCTATAAGTAGATGATTTTGTACTAATACATGGCCAATTAAAAAGATTGTTTGAGAATAAGTTATCCATCATGTAACAAATAAATTAGACGGTGCGGATCATATTTTTAGAGAATTATAGGTCGGAATATGATTCTTTCTCTCGCTCTCACTCTCTCTCTCTTTATGTACACGACCTGTATTACGTCATATCCGGAATACTGCATCTCATTAAATTTAAAAAAAGATTACGAAGTTACATAATTAAAAGCTAAATACAATTTCTCTTAGAAGAAGTCGAAAAGTACACTTCGCATGAGTTTTGACTACAAGAACACAATCATATTAATGAAAATAACATATTCCATTGGCGACGTTATACCAATCTCGGAAAACTCGATCCATGAGCTCCATAGGAGGTAGAACATCGACAACCCACTTCCTTTCAACTTCATTAGCCTGAGCACATGCAATTTTAAAAAAGATCAATAGTCGTCCCAACATGTGGGTTTTTTAAAGTAAAAATTACACTTGTATTTGAACTTTACCTATACATACTCATCCCAACCAGGCCCTCCTATTCTCTTAGAAAATTCATCAAAATGGAAACCAGGTTTTTGAAGGAGGTCTTTAACACTCCATGTTAGTATTTTGTGCCTTGACTTTAATATTAATGTAGGTATATATTGGGCGATTATCCCTGTGATAGTTATGGAAGCGTTCTAGTGCTTCCTGAAATGTTGGACATGAACAATAGATAGCCTCAGAGTAACCATGAACTTGACAGTTACACTCTTCCCAAGTTCTTTATATCCCTGGAACGTGTCCCACAAACACCATATAATAATGTTGTTGTCGCATTGTCTGGCAATTTCAACCAAAAACTAAAGAGAATATTAAAATTGAAAAATAAAATAGGTAAAATCATACAAAGATCCATAAAAAGAAATAATATGCCACATAAACCATGCTCAAGTCAGGTTTTGGACTTCCTATGTATTTCACATATTATGTGCATATACCTGGTGAAATAGACCTGCAACATGTACCTTATAGTTGAACAAGCAGAGAGGCAATTTACACCACTTCAAAAGGACATACGGGTCATTAGTTGACGTCTATGAATGTACAAGGCCATGGGAAGGGCTTAGTTTCTCAACCAACAGTGAAGGGAAAGCTAAGTCTAAGATTGGTGATTCTGGTATGTGAAGAGTAACTAAAAAAATATGTTCGCATTTTGGAAATTTTTTTTTTTTTTTTATAATCTCATGAATAAGTTTGGAAAGCATTGAAATGATAATATGACAATCATAACTTGTTTCAACATTAAGTCGTAGATCTAACAAATTCACAAGGGACAATTTCATTATAGTCGTGCTAACTCTCCCAAACCCCTAATCCAACAACAACAAGAAGAAAAAACAATGTCTACATTCACAAATAGAATGGCCAGCACAAACAAAAACAACATAGGGCCACATTTGATTATGTATGATAGTAATACCCAAAGGAATATTATGAAATTTCTTTTACAAACACAAAAAGATTCAAAATATTGATGTCCGAAATATTGATATCCAAAGTCTTGCCAAAATGAAAGAAAAAGCACAAAACTGAACAAAAAAGAAAGAATATTTACAACAACCACATCCTACTTATCAACATCCATATCCTTGCAGTTATTCATCAACACAGAAAGAATGGGTAAAAATTTAAAGAGAGAACAGAGTAACAATAGAGTGAGAGATAGAGGGAGAGAGCAATCATAAGTATTTATCAAACAAGAGCAACAACTAAAGCATTCAACCATAAGCATCGATCAAAATCCTACTAATTATCCAAAAGCCAAACATTGAGACATTCCCTCTAACAAACAAAGAGGAAATAGTTCATAAAATAACCTGAGCAATTAAAAGTTCAATTGAAATTAGTGTTGTAAACAATTAGTCGAAATTAGTATTGTAATCTCCAAACTTCAGTTCGCGGCAATCTTCCCTGACTTGGTCACCCATGGCCAAGAAAGCTTTACACTTTCTTATATCAGAAGAGAGATTATTGTAAATTATTATTCGCTTCTAAGAGTCTATGAAGTCCATCTTCTTGACAGTATAGAAAACATTACTCAACACATCTTCATCCTTAGTCGTTGTCATGCCCTTGATCGCTTCAGCAATCTCACTGAGCTGATCTACATAAATATCATCTTTAGTCTTCTTTCTCTTCTTTCCCTTTTTATTGGTTTTTGAGCCACCCAAAGCCCTTGACCCTCTTGCATTTGATCTATCTTCATTGCCATCCTTGGTGGTCTCCTCTTCATCTTCCCCTGTGCCAACAACTCCAATCCCTGCCTCGTGCATCAATGTCTCCTGAACGTCCTGCTCCATATTACGATGGTCGTTCTCTACATCAGCATGGTTTTGTGCACCTCCACCACCAGCCACATCATCTCCAATAATCACACATAAATCTTCCCATTAAGGTACGCCCTTATCCTGGTACTGCCTGACATCCTTCTGTCACTACAATGCATATTATCAAAAAGGTCAAACGCAATCAATATAGCCTTGAGATCTTGATATATAATCTAAATCGAATAATTAATACATGCAAGTACACATCCCACACAAGGAGATCTGCTGTGATCATGTGTCGTGCTGGGTCCCATCCAAACCCACTATCGTTCGATAGGTTGTTAATGAACTTATATATTGTCTTTCAATGCTTGTGCTTGTTTTTAAGCTGGTCCTTGGTGACATTCACTATTGAACTTCTTTTGCATAGAAAACCATGCATTTTCGAAAACTGCCCTCCGATTTCTTCTCCAATCTCAATTGTTCTCTTAGTAAGCCAAGGAACGCGAAGTTCATTCTTTGGTTCCAAGAAAATCCATTGTTAGATATAGCATGGCTACTGTTGACATCCATCCCTGATTAGTATTTACAAACCACATCTGTATAAATTTCTACTTCAGTAGTAATCAATATACACATCAAAAATTAGTTGACAACATGCATTGTCCTGGAGGAAATCGGGGCATAATCAATATTCACATCATAATCGAGGAACCGAGGCATAATTCAATTATTGAGAAGTAAATATACAATATGAAAGCATGTATGTTGTCATAGTTTTAACGATACACAATGACCTAACTCAAGGAAGCAGTATAATCTTTCCACATTTTCTGATTAATTTCATATCGAAAATTATCCCAATCATCCCTTTCCCTCTGACCCTTTCCAAAGGTAGGTTGTCGTGGTACTCGCAAGGAGTCCTCATCGCTTGAACTACTGGAACTGCTATCATTGTTATCATTGTTGTCATGGCCATAATTGTAGTCATCACCACCGTTCTCATGATCAATAACCACGGCCTCTGTACTCATAATGAAGTTATGTAATATACAATAAGCTAGCACGATCTTCACTTGATTTTGAATTGGGAAAGGTATCGTAGTTCTCAAAATAGTGAATCATCCTTTTAAGATCCCAAATATACGTTCCACAATGTTACGCAAGGATGAATGACGAAGGTTAAACAATTCCTTTGCTATGTTGATTGGGTTAATCTGAGAAAACTCCTTCAGATGGTAACAAACTTGGCAATATGGTGCAAAAAACCAGGGGATATAGGGATATCCAACATCAACAAGGTAATATTTTACTAATAGAAGTAGAAAATAAAATGCAAGGGTACTATTAATTGTCATTCTATATTAGTAATAACAATACAACACACGTGTGGACTATTACCCGATGAAACATGGAAAGTATATGTCATTGACAATGCACTTGATAAAACCCTTGAAT